CGCTGAGGGTGGCCTTGGGAGGTAAGAGGAGAGTCTCAAAGAGTTTTGCAGGATTATCAACAATGGACATAATAATAGAAAACAAAAATATAAAGGAAGATGTAGTAACTTGAACCGAATCTTGATTTAGACCTACTCAAAGGGGAACTTAGAATAAGAAAAATGAAAGAGTAGTATTTATACAGACTCATTTATTCTGGCTAATACCTTGCAATATTGGGGGATGTGAGTTTTAGAGAACATGATAGGCCAGGTCTGTGTGAACAGGATTACGAAAATGTCTGTATGAACGCCATGTGTATGTATGTTAAACTGCATATTGTACGTAAGGCTCTATTTCTTCTATATTGCCTAAACTGGGTCCACATTCCATTAAAGAAGTACACATTAATTCTCCCCTGTAGATGGTACAGGTAGTTCTTCCAAGACAAGTACATGCAGTCTATGCAAATAAACCCTATGAAGAATTAATGTCTGCACTTCAAATTCCAGCAGGAAAAACAGCTATAGAACTAAGTGGTATTGGTAAAGCCATGTCACAAGAGCAGAATAGTCATTTGTACCAAGACTAAGTCTGGCACACCAGGTTTACCGAGGACACTGTAGGGGAAGAAGGGAAAACCACACTTCCTGACGACATTTTTCTACTGTCTTTTAAGTACTACGGCTCACTGGTGGGCAGGTGCAGAGAGAGAGCCATCTGTCTGCTGAGTCCTGCTGAGTCCTGTAGAACTCATGAATGAGCTTTACCGGCCTTCTTACTCATGGATAGAAACCTACCCACTGCCAGGAATCTCCTGACCACTTGAGTGGGAGAGGTAGAAGAGGGCCAGTCTGTCTGTTTCCTACCTGGGAACTCCTGTCAGGTTCCAACCAGCAGGACTGTGCACAATGGCATCTTCCTACGTGTAGAAAGCACTTGTGTCCACTACCAGACTGTGGTGTGAAATTGCCTTCAACATCTAAAAAATATATTAGCCTATATCCACCTGCAGAAAAGCCTAACAAAGGCAATGTGGAGTACTAGAAAAAGGGTGGGCTGTGCTCATGTGCTGGCACACAGTAGGTGCACAATAAATGGTAATCAGCCTATATTATGAAAGAAAGGATGTCTGCTCATATTTTTTTCCACTGTTATTCTCCTTCCTAAATATAATCCTTCTTTCTATCCAATTTTTCCATGTGACTAAAAAATTCTGTTCTCTGCCTCAACTAATACAGAGATAGGATGTGACGTGTAGCAGTCAGGAGTGGGGAGCTGGAGACAGTTGCTGGGTTTTAACGCCAGCTCTTCTTACTGGCTGTGTGATCTCAGACAAGCTGCATGTGTATTTATTACTCCCTTAATAATGTGTTCATTATTTATTAAGCTTTGCCTGTAAGTGGATGTAATCATAGTCCCTGTGCTTCACTGAGTTTCTGTGAGAATTAAAAGCTATGCATAGGATTTTGCATACCACCTGCAGATAGTGTTTAAAAATGCCATTCATTATCATTATTTCCATAACCATTGTTTATTATGATGATATAGCACTATTATTACTTCTGGAACAAAATGAGAAGCAATGACTTTGACGTGTAGTAGGAAAGTTTAACCCAAAGCTTTCATCCATCATTATTCCTTTTATCCCTCAAACCTCCCTGGAGATTAACTTTTAGCAGCAGAAATGAACAACCTATGGAAAACACAAACACAGGACCACAAATTTAGCAGCAGAGAGATCTGGATTATATGTTAGATTTCTGAATATTTTGAAGGTAGCAGGAGCTATTTTAAACTGTTTTAAACTCAGAATACAATGAGCTCTCACTGAACTATCCTGCAGGGGGTGGGGGGGGGAATAATTGGATCAGTTTCAGAAACTCTGTCTCAGAAGTAGAAAGCACAGTTTTAAAGTATGAGGTTCAAGGTAAGATATGAACATGAGGGCTTTAAAATGCATAGATGCTTTCCATTCAAATTTATATTCTATCATTTTCTGGAAAAAAATGAGTCACGGAGACATTGCAGCATACTGCGAGGTGTTAACAAAGAATTATCTAGAGAGTCAGAAATGCAATAGGTTTAAACCAGAGGATATTTTAACTCATCTATAAAATTAAAATATGACATAAAAATTATTTTTCCTTCCCGTCCTCCTCTCAACTTTTTTTTTTGCTATATTCTAGTAGCAGAGTACATAAAAATATATATTTAAACACTGAGTATTTCTACTTGAGTATTATTTCTCTTTCTTGGCTAAATTAACTCATTTTAATTTGAAATTCTAGTTGCAAGACAATCATGCTTAATTTGTTTCTGACATTTTTCTTCTACTTACTCACGCAGCCATGCAGAGGGGGTTGTATATTTAAAAAGCCTTTTCATCCATCATTTACTTGCTTATTAATTTGGGAATTAAATTTTGTTTTCATAACAATTCTTCATCCAGAAATACTGGCTTTTATAACCCTACCTTCGGAGCTTGATGTTCTTCCTTTATGAGGAAATAAACTATTACATTACACAACAGAGCAAGTAATAAAAAAAATCCTGGTTAAACAAGTTTTGTAAAAGCGGGAGAATTTGCTCTCTACAAATGAGCAAACTTCTAAACATCTGAAAGACTTAAAGACATTTAGCACTGAAACTATATATGTTTAAGAAAATCCAATCTTTTACAAGTGATGGAGAAGATATTTTAGAATGCTACAATGCTAAAGGTCATTATTTAAAACACTGGCAGTCTTTTATTATATATATGTTTTCCACTGCTGGTTATAGGATGCCAGACAAAACTAGCTTTTACTCTACCAGTCTTCACCACAAGAATTCAAAGACTGATCAAGAACGCAATAGTACCAGATCATACCCAATTGTTATAAACAATATGAATTAGAGAAATTCTGACTTAGACCATTTAGTTTGCAAATCATATATAACTGACCTGGACATACAGAAATTCCTTTTACCAGAAAAGCTAAAATTAAAGGGCTTTACTGAACTTTCAAAGGGCCAAATCAAACAGATACTCATTGTACACACATACTCAAGCAAGAAATTTGTTATTTTCTTCATTTAGTACAAATAAAAATCTGCCTTACTGGATCTACTTTGTGTTTTTAAAGTCAGATGATGCAGGATTCCAGGTCAATTCAGTAAATTAATTAATTTTGATTAATTTGCATGAACTTCTTGATTTTTCTATAGTACATGTATTCAAAGACTATGACAAAATAATTCTTTCTGGGCTAAAATCAAGGCCTGCAGTGTTGTGTTTCCTCTCCAGAGGTTCTAAGATAGAATCCCATTTCCTTGCCTTTTCCAGCTTGTCGGGGCCACTTGCATTCCCAGGATCATGCCCCCCTTCCTCCATTTTCAAAGATGGCAATTATCATCTTTAAATCTCTCTCTGACTCCCCTGGTGCCCTCTTCTACTTCTAAAGCCCTCTGGGATTATACTGAACCCATCAGGATAATCCAGGGTCATCTCCCTTATTTAAAGTCAGTTGATTTGCAAACTTAATTCTATCTGCAACCTTAATTCTCCCTTGCTAGGCTACCTAACATTTTCACAGGTCCTGGCGATAAGGAGGTGGGTGTCTTTGGGGGATGGGGAGGAGTTATTCTGCCTACCACACTACATCAGATTTCCATCCCAACTGCAATATTCAATTCAAGTCAATACTCACACAAGCAAGATTAAAATTCTCCAATACTACTGCTATTATTATTATTATCATCGTGTAAACAAACATGTAAAGATTACAAAAAAGATTTTAAATCTGGGTTAGATCATCACATCTTCTATCAGTAGAGACATGCCACCTTGCCCAGCTTCTGACCTCTTTCCAAATGCTTGTACAAACAGGACACCATCAACTAGTTTGCTACCTTGTTCTTGAGTGTATCACAACTCAGTACACTATAGACTGTGTACTGATAAAGGTATCGATTTCCCATAAGACAATGTAACAGATATTGCCTATTATGTTTTCTACATAGTATTAATATTGTGGCAATAATTTTTTTTTATGCTGAGGATACATTTCAGACTACAATAAAAACTTTGTGAGAAATACTATTTCACTAACGTTGACTGCAAATACATTTTTTTCAGGAACACGTACATTGGAGGAGTAGATTATTAGCACCAGCGTAGATTTCAGAGATACCAACCCCATTTCAAGAATGATATGAGGGCAACGTGGCCCAAAGACTTTCATCCCACTTACTTGAGGCCACATAGAGCTAACTTGTAACACAGCAGTCTCCTGATCAGTAAGTGCTCCTGTGATTATGATGCTGTTCACCTTACATATAAAATAGAGTCAATTATGACTCCTATCACCATATCATTTTGTAAATCCATAGCACTACTAACTTAACACTTCAAGGCATTATAGAAATAGTATTTTATTATTTGGTCCCATGACAACACACCAAGAAAACCAAGGATTAAGTCCTACTACGATCCTGTGTAAATTATACTAAATGTATTAGATGTCACATAATAAACAGCACACAAGAAGGAGAGACTCATTTCACAACAAAAACAACGATGAGTCTACACTCATCATGCAAATAACTTGCGTAAGACAAAGAAAAAACTTTTCCCTCACAAATCACTAGTTCTTTTTTGATGAATTAAAATGGGAGGAGTATTAAGAATGTTTACATGAATTTTCTGGGAAAAAGAAAAATGATTTAGAATCATTACAATGTGAGAAATATCACACCAAGAGTATTTGAAAATTTTGTCACTTTTCCCAAATATTTTGATCTCTGCTTTTAAAAAAATATCAACTAAACACACCTATATAGCGTAGTCCCAACCTAATAAAACACAATCACTCTAATTTTTAAACTAATTTCTTTCAATTATTAAAATATATGTAGTTTCCTTCAGCTCATAGGGCCAAATTCCATTTTTTAAAGTTATGGGGGTGGGGAAACCTCTTGATTTGTCAATAAAACTTTATTTTCTTGGTATCATAAAGTATAATTGAAATCAACTCACTTGATGTAATAGGGCACTTTATTATGTGAGGTGGATCTTTGCCACGGCAGCTGGACTGAAGCTGAGGGAAGAAACAAAGGGAGGTTATTGGAAACACTGGTGGCTCCAAAGCCTTACACCTTAACGCAAAACAACTGAACGTATTTTACAGCCAATTCAATGAGAACTGCTCTGGTTTTTGACCCAGATTCCTATTAATTGTGAAATCCACTAAACCTAACAGAGAACAGCTTTTAAGATTCACTGGAAGTGAGGAAAGAAACAACATAGGTTCCATGCTAATACTTCTAAAAATCAAATTATATATATATATATATATATATAAAACCACAACAATTTCAAATTTAGTGCCATTTGTTTTTTTGATAGGGTCTTACTTGGTCACCTAGGCTATAGTGTTCTAGGGTCATCCTAGAAGAGATCCTCCTGTCTCAGCCTGCCAAGTAGCTGGGACTACCACTATGCCCAGATAATTTTTTTCTATTTTTAGTAGAAATGGGATCTCATTCTTGCTCAGGCTGGTCTTGAATTCCTGATCTCAAACAATCCTCCCACCTCAGTCTCCCAAAGTGCTAAGATCACAGGTGCAAACCACCACACTTCATCATGTACTCTGCATATTTCTGATAAAGCTAAAACCAAAATTAGTTTTATTTGGCATATCCATATTAAAAATTAGATTCCTCAAGCCTGAGTTTTCCAGATCCCTAATAACATTCTTTACTTTGTATCATATTCATAAGAATAGCTCCCCAGCACAGATGGCATTTAAAACAAATTTAATTACACGAAATAATAAAAGAGAAAATTAAAATAAAAACAGGCAAAAAGTTGTAAAGAACCAAGGCAGTCATCTGGGCAGAAAAATCCCAAATACTTATTTTTGTCTAAAATGTACATTGAGTCCCGTTTCCTACTTTGGCACTAGGCATTATTATAATTTAGATGTTATGATTTTTTATTAAAGTTTTTTTATTATAGTTACTTCTTATTCTAAATAAGTTCTAATTCTAATTACTTATTTCTAAAAAATTTTTTTTCTAAATTAAATCTATTATTTTAAAAGTTATTTAAGAAGAGCTATAAGGGAATTTAGAGCTGTAAAGGAATTTTACTAAATGAACGAATAAGAAAATTCAAAGAAAACTTTGCAGATATCACCAGGCCCTCATGTATCCAGTTGTCAGCAATATATTTTTTCTGAATTTCATGTCATATTAATAGCCTACAAATATATATAGCATTCTAAACTTTGCCAAGCACTTACAAATATATCTTTTGGTAAGGAAGCCAGCAAGATACACATTAAAGTTCCATTTGATAGATGAAGAACTAAATACACAGAGATAAAATAACTTGCCTCCAAAGTGATAGCTAATAAATAAACAGTTGAGCTCAGATGTGATCTCAGAATTTCTGAACACTAGTTCAGCAGTTTTTCTACTCAGCTCATCTTTATAAAATGCAAGCATTCCTTTCTTCAACTATGTCCATAAAAACTACAGACAGGGGATGAAAATGAGGAACAAGGTGTGTTAAATTTCTCACTAGAGCCAACCCTCATTTCAGTGTTGGCACCAGGCGGATAGGTCAGTTTTTATTTTGTGCCTAACTAAAAAGCTTCTTTTATAACCACGGCTCAGGTCCAAGAAATATAATAAAGCCAAAGATTGTCAGCAACAAGGGATAACGATTATTAAATTTACTAATTGGGATTTTGTTTATGGTTCTCCATTCATTTTAATCATTGTTTTGATTTGAATAACTTCAATCTCCCAGGACCATGAGCGTTAAACAATGAAAGGCAGTGCATTTGAGTTTCACAAAATGTGTCTGAATTTCACAATATGTCACTTCCTAAAGAACGTGTGCTTGGTTCCTATTATGAGAGTGATTGCGAGGTGTAGGGTTTCTTCACTATTAAAGATAATTAATCCTTAGAACTGAAAAAAGAGTCTCTTATTTTACAAATACCTCTTTAACTCGATGATAGTCCTTAGTTTAACATGCTATAAAGCTATAAAGTTAAGTAATCTGGCACGTTTAAAACTTAATGAGCACACTGCAAATTTTCATCAACAATGAAGGTATCCAAACTTTAAAAATGCATCCCAGCACCCAGGCATACAGTGTATTTCAGGAAGAACTACACATCCCTCAAAGATAGGCTCCCTGAGAGTTTATGAAACATAACGTGTGTGTGTGTGTGTGTGTGTGTTGGGGTGAGGGTGGGGGAGCAAAGGACAGTCAGGAAGGGCAGGACAGGACTGATCAGGATCCTTGAATTGCAAAAGCACAGCCTGACCTTTAGTTGAGGCAAAGCAGTTTATCAACAGTGACAAGATTAAGAGAAAACATAAATGCAATCCATTTAGTTGTACGACATGGGATTACTTCAGTTTTCTCGATGGTAATAGTTACAAAGAGGTTGTCATAATTGAGAAATAAGCTTTGCCCTAAGTTTTAAACTTTACTTAAATTGAATTAAAGGAAACAAATTGCTTTCTTACAGATATTTGTCAAAGGAAATGAAAGGAAAGGAATTAATATTTACTCAAAGCATTTGTGTCAAGAACTGTGCTAGGTGCTTTGTGTAACTGGCTATGCTTTGTCATTTAATTCTCAAAATACTCAGGGGAAAGAGGTGTTTTAAGACAAAGAAATTAACTTTTAGAGATTAACAGCTGTGGTTAAACGGCAGGATGAATTTTTAAACTCAATCTGGGTGACTCTAAATTCTACACTCTTTAGTGTCCTCAGCAGTGAATGATAAAGTAAAAACTTATTTATTCAAGATCTCATGAACAGGGTGGCGCCAGTGGCTAAAAAGGGTAGGGCGCTGGCCCCATATGCCAGAGGTGGCAGGTTCAAACCCAGCCCTGGACAAAAAAAAAAAAAAAAGCAAAAACAAAAATTTATTTAAAAAAAAAAAATCTCATGAACAGTCCCTAAAATTAAAAATTTCACTTGGAGAATATTACATAAAATTGTACGAGTGTGGTTTGGCTAAATCTGCAATACTTGACCCAAACAAAAGCTAACTATGATTGTAGTGAGCTTAATAAACCGAAATCTTCTCATTTAAACGTATGAAAAGTAATTTTTTTTGTTTTACTTTAAAAGTTTCAGGTGCCACAATAGCAAAGATACGAAATCAATTTGTCTACTAACTGACAAATGAATAAACCAAGTGTGGTATATACAGACAATGAAATATTATTCAGCCATAAAAAAGAATGAAATCACGTCATTTGCAGTGACATGGATGGAACTAGAGGACATTATGTCGAGTGACATAAACCAGGAACGGAAAGACAGATCCTGCACGATCTCACTCTCTGGGGGAGCGAAAATGTGGATCTCTTGGAGATAGAGGAAAGAAGGATAAGTACCAGAGACTGGGAGGGGTCTGTGAGGGTGGGCTCAGGGGAGAGAAGGAGAAGTTGGTTAATGGTTATAAACACAGAGTTAGAAAGAAGAAATAAATCCTAATGTTCTATAGCAGAGTAGGACGACTATAGTTAATAACAATGTATTTCATATTGCAAAGTAGCTTGAAGAGAGGACGAGAATGCTTCCAACACACAGAAATGACAAATACACAGGATGATGGACGTAACAGGTATTCACATGTTCAGTGTAAATATGTAAAATATGTAGCAGTAAAATGATAAAAAGGAAAAAGGCACAGGTGGATTTTAAACTAATAATCACTTTGGAAGGAGAAAAATTAATTGAAGAAATCTTAAAACATAAAAATAATTTCTTTATTATGAAATAGTTCATAACCTTTTCCCATGGCAAAGCAATGATGATGTAAGGCTTATTATCATGAGAGTCTAGTGAAAGAAAAATTCCTTTCTGTCCCATTTTAAAGATTTATCAATTATCATCATTATTATTAGAAATAATAATAAGAAACGTTTTCATTAATACGAATGCCTCTTTTAATACTTTGGATATAATAAATACGTATATCTATACCAAAGAATATTGCTTCTTAAATGATGGTGAAAGCACATACTGATTTATTAAATTACTGAGACCAGTCCACTTCGTCAGTACTTACTGGAGAGAAAATGCTGCGAGGATGGTCCAAAATCTCTATGGGCTTCCTGAAGCTGTTTAAGGCGATCGTCCACAGAAACCTGCACATTCACACACAAGACAGATGAAATAGGGGTATTTCAAAACAATGGCTGTAATCATATCCTTGACTTAAGGACTACAGTAAATATGATGCTGTTGCCCAAGATACAGAAGCTTGTATAGACTCCTCCTCTGCCTCAGGTATCAAAGTAATGGTGTAAAAATGGACTCCTTCTGGCAGAAAGGAATAGTAAATGATGACAGGTGCTCTTGTAAGCAATTTGTATGAATTAACTCTTTTAATCCTCAGAATAAGCACAATGGTTAAACATCATTATTATCCCCACTTTACAGATAGAAAAATGGAGAAACGAAGAGGTTCCCAAGATCATAAAGCCAGAGAGCAGCAACGCTACTCCCATCCCGGGCACGGTGCCGGAATGTGCACCCTGTTACTCCACACGGCCTCTGGGGCAGTGGACTGCCTCGAAATCACTCGTTTCCAACCTTTTTTGTGCACTTGAACCTCTGGTTAAACTTTTGCAGCATGCTTAAATTATTTTGATCCAAAAAAGAATATACTTACTGTGCTTTGAACTGCTTCCAAAACTAATTTTATTAATGATTTTTTAAAAATTTCATAGCACACCTAAGATCCTCTCACGGCACACCAGTCTGCCGTGGCACACTGGTTGAAAATCACTGCTCTAAACCCTGTAAAGTCGAGATGTGGCCATGGGGTTGTGACCACCAAGGTCTTTTTTGTAAGGAAGATAGTAAAATGTGCTTTAGAGGGTAAATGAGAAAGAAGCCCAGAATACTCCAAGGGAAAGATACTCGGTAGGTGAATAGGTAGACAGAGGGCGGGTGGAGATGCAGATAGAGGGAGTGAGTGAGGGAGTGAGATGATAGACAAAAGACAGATAGTGAAAAGGTATGTGAGGATGGACTATCTCATTTTCCTCCAGGTTTGTGTCTGATCATCTCTACTCGGGGTTGGGATGTATATTCAAATGCACACCAGCACTTCAACACATCCTGTATATTTGTTTACACACATTCTATCCTTCTCTTATGAAAATGCAAACAGCTAGTACACTGAGACACTACATAAATGTAAATTGATATTAACTGCAGCAAGTCTCCTGAACTTGCACTTCCCCTTTCCTGGTCTTTGTCTGTGTAATGCTGTTCATCATTCCACCTAGACTCACAATCGTATTTTCATTTGTCCTCCATTGAAACTTGCCCCTGGCTCACTGGACAGCTCTCCTTTCTCCTGGTTTGTCATTTAAATTACAATAGTTTGTATTTTATTTATTAAGGCCAAAAAGCATTAAAATGCCGCACGCTATGAGTGAACATCCTTCCTGAAATTTAACAGTGTTTCCTGTCAGCACAGATTTTTTTCCCTCTTATCCAACCAGCAACGAACATCTGAGCTCTCGTGGTTACCGGATCATAGATAAGGGTGACAGGATACGTGTCTTCTCTCAAGTACAACATATTCCCTGATTGCTAATCTTTGGAGATGATGATAACAGAAGCGGAATGGAAATAAGTCAAGACGGACCATAAGGACCTTCACGTGAAGATAATGCTTCAGAAGAGCGATGAAGCACCAGAAAGAACAAAAAAGATCAAACACTTTTTTGATCCACCCGCTAGAAAAGCACATATGAATTCAGCAGATTTCCCCTCACTAATCCCAGATTAGCGCTCTTTGCAAAGAAAGAAGATTGTCAAATACTATATGCTCATTTCTTTACCTCTTCAATTTCATTAAGAAAATCTGAGCCTTCGAATATTTTGATGTTTGCATTAGTTCGGCAAGCCTATTATATATAAAATACTGAATCTGTCAAACAAAATACTTTTAGGTGGTATACCAAAACTGCCTATTTCAGTAAGGTCTAGAGTCATTAAAACAATTGCATCAGAAGGGCAATATAAGAGCTAAAGGTAGATGCCGCCACAGTGTGAATCTGGAAAAACTCAGCAAGACACTTAAATAGCAACTACTTGGCAGAAAAGGGACGGAGGCTTTCCTACTTTGCAAAACAAAACAAAACAACCACACTATGAAATTTAGGAGTCATTATGAGAAAAAATGTTTCGATGACCTACCATAGCTTTCAATTACTGTGACTTATCTGATCTTCTGTAATTTTCTGTAACTATCATATGACTAGCATATCAAAAAGCTACATTAAAATCTGTATGTATAAATAAATAAGGTCCTTGGGTTTAACATACTGAAAGGCAAATGCCTGGTGTCCCCACAGGCTAAATTCTTTACCAATTACAAAAGAAGGAAATAAACAACAATGGTGTGTGCTAGCAGAGCGAGGCAGGGCTCAAAGCCACCAGGGTGTAAACCTGCACGATGGAGGGTTCCGCTGATACCTGCAGAAGTTTCCATCGCATATTCAGGTCGTCCAGCTGGCGAGACATCTTTACAGATGGATGGAGGTCAAGTGGAGACAGCTGACTGGATAAATCATTCACTGTTTTCACTTTTAAGTGGATGGGTGCAATTTCTTCTCTAAATGCCTACCAGAAAAAGACAGAAAATATGTCACAGGGAAAGAATATAACCAAAGGCAGTACACTCGACCCTTGAACAACAGGGGTTTGAACTGTGCAGGTTCATGTATGCATGGGAGGTTTTCAAACACAGGGAAAATACGGTATTCATGGGATGCAAACCTGAGTCTAGAGAGGGCTGACTTTTGTATTGGTGGATTCTGCAGGAACTTCGGGACTTAACTATACTCAGATTTTGTTATCCGCAGGGGCTCTGGAACCAATCCCCTTTGTACGCCACACCGAGCTGACTTAACTCAAGCCTTTAGTAACCTGGATGAAGAGGAGTCGCCATCTATACCCCCAACAATATACATCCGTTTATGAGGAGAAAAACCATAATTCAAACTCAGCTAAATGATCGTGTAGTTCTTTTCGTAATTTTTTATAACGTTCAATTTAGTCTGAAAATGTTTGCATTTTTTCCACCTTACTGCCTTCTCGTCTTGATTCTGGCCTTCGTGTCCTTTCATGTGTTATTTCCTGTGTTGACACGGCTCCTTTAGTATTTTTTCACCCAATGCACCAGCTTGACTTAAACATGTTTTGACTTAAAATTAAGTTAGAAAATGGTCGGTAATGACGACTTTCCTAATCACAAAACGAATGCCTATTTTATTCCCAAGAGGTAAACTCTGTCCTTTTCAAAATCATTCATGGTCACTGTCTGTGGGGAAGGCCAGGACAGGGCGAGAGAAGGTTACAGGAGAAGTAGTCAAGGAGGCCTAGACTTGACAATGCCACCTCTGGGCACAGGAGAGTGTGCTGGTGTTGGGGGAGGCAGAGGGTGTACGTGAAGAGCAGAAGAAAAAACAAAACACATTTTGGATCAGTGACAGTAACACGTCCCGTGAGTGCAAAGAGAATAACAAGCGCGGTGGTTTTCTCTGCTCTCCACATAACTCCACCTGCATCTGTGTTTAGATTCCATTTTTCCGACAGTCCTTGCCTAGATAGGGAGCCTTTAAAAGACTTGCCTCTGGTCTCCTTCCATTAGGAAGACTTCCCTGAGCACTCTCCTCCTGCAGCCTGTGCTGGAGGCTCCCCCCAGGTGCTCCCAGAACGCCTTCTCTGCCCTCTCCAACCTGCCAGGACTTTGAGCAGAGCACATCTGCTCCCACACTTTGGGAACGAGGGGTTCGAGGTGGGGCCGCTGTGACTGCGTGCGGCCCTACCAAACCAGTTGTTAAATATTTTAAATTTCATTTCTCATCAGAGCACTTAGTACTTGGTTTTATGAGCACCCATATTCTTGATGTCCCCAGCGAAGAACGGAAGATTCTTGAGAATAGACGCTGGCTAGTATTCAGCCCATGACTTGCAATCTAATAGGTCAGAATTCATTTGTATTGACAAAGACCCACTAAAGTGATATCTGGGGCCAGATTAATCCAATATACGATAGAAAAAGGAAAGAATTGGGATGCTAAGAGAGAACAGTGTATGTTTAATTTTTTGGTACATCACAAAATTATAGTTAGTCACACACCACATTTAACTTACAGGGAGTAGGTGTTGTAAACATCTGGCAGCCCTGGCCCTTTGGTTTTTATCATTTCTATATTCCCTATTCCCTGTTAGGCTAGGCCTAAGTCTAGGAGCCCCATCCTTTGACCACTATATGTTTAGTAAAGAAATAATATATACCATAGTGGTTTGACAACTACACAGTTTTATTAAAACACTACAGTATTAATTTGGCTTCTTCCTGATATTTATATTCTATAAAAAGCCTCTTTAACCATGTTCCCCTTTCCTATTCTCTTCCAAAACTTCTCTAGTTAACTATCCCCTTCTACAGAATGTGAAGGATGGCAGAACATGTCACTCTTAAATAGGCCATTTTAGCATAAAGTTTATTTTGAGCTGAAGGCACTTAAAAAAAACAGGTGGTGCAAAAGGGCACTCAGACCTTTGGTTGTTTCTTACTGAAAGCAGGAGATAAAACTCCCCTATTTAAAATGTCCTCCCTTGGTGGCTGTGGTAGTTAGGTGACATAATTTCCATGGCTGAATTATGCTGGTGCCTAGTTCCCACCTCCACTGCCATCAGTCTTTCCCCACCAGACTCTCACCTGCCTCTGAGCCCCTCCACTGGCCCTTACTGAGCATGGGGGTGGCCACAAGGCACAGGGGCTGGACTGGCTATCAGGACCCTGCATGGCTTTGGAACTTCCACTGGGTGCAGCACCCAGCCTGTCTGGCCTGGAAGTTCTTCTTCTGTAATGCAAATGTCTATTTCAGCCCTGCCCACTTTGCAGAAGGGATAGGAGATTGAAGTGCATTAGTGTCATTAGTAAATATAAAATACATTAAAAAAATAAAATGCCTCCCTATAGCAGAAGGAAAGTTACCTATCAATCATCAAAGATGAAAAGTTAAGGCAGAGACAACTTTGTACAAACAGATGTTGCTAAAATACTTCTTAACCTTCCTTTCATCTACCCACATAAATTAGCTACGTTTACAAAACTGCCTCTCTTTGTTCAACCTCATATAAAATTATTTAGGCTTTACCATTTCTGTGGGTCTCCATTTCCTCATGGGGGGTGTCTTATGTTAATTAAAACTATATAAAATAAATTTATATGCTTTCACTCTGTTAATTTCTTGCATCTGTTTAATTCTCAGACCCATGTGAAAAACCTGAAGAGGAAGAGGTAAAATTTTCCCTCCTCTTCATATGTGTAAGCTAAAAGTAATCATTATGGTGGATAAATATAAAAATATATTAAGAATCAACTGTATTTCTAAAAAGGAAAGTAATCCTAGGTAAATTAGAGAATAAGATTTAGTGTTCAAAGTTCTTCTCATGCCCAAGTCCCAATAAAGAAGCTGAAGATGGAGATGAGCAGTTTACAGTCAGATCTGGAGCCCAGAGTTGGGCGGGAAATACAGACGCTGGAAATAGTCTACCAGCAATATGTGAACATGGAAGTCAATGTGCGTAAAGGAAGAACACTGCCAGAACTGCAGATACCAAGATTCCAAAAAATGTAGAAGTGAAGCCCCAAAGGTCATGGGTATTGCTGCAACACAGAATAAAAAGAAATTTAGACTCGAGGTAATTTTTTTTCCATTGCATCTGTGGGTCCATTCCAACATATGTTCCATTCTGTTCCATATGTTGGTCTTATATGGATGACAGAATGTGCACACAAAGACAGACACAAAAATAAGGTTAAATAAGAAGAGCAACAGTATGGGAACAGAGGCATTGCAGGTGTAAAGGATTAGTAATTAGGGCAGCGCCTGTGGCTCAGTGAGTTGGCCCCATATACCGGGGGTGGCAGGTTCAAATCCAGACCCAGCCAAACTGCAACAACAACAACAAAAATAGCCAGGCATTGGGGCAGGTGCCTATAGTCCCAGCTACTCGGGAGGCTGGGGTAAGAGAATAGGCTAAGTCCAAGAGTTGGAGGTTGCTGTGAGCTGTGATGCCACGGCATTCTACCGAGGGTGATTAAGTGAGACTCTGTCTCAAAAAAAAAAAAAAAAAAAAAAAAAAGAATTAGTAATTAATATAGAAGCATGGGGCAGAGGGAAGTGTGTGTTAGGTGGAGAAAGAGAATTTTTCAGTCTGGACTTTGACGTGTCTTAAGTTCCCTCAGATTCAGGTTGAGAACAATTACAGAACTCAAATCCTTCAAAACATCCCCAGTCGTGATTGATACTTTACATATTAAGATGTAGTATTCTCTCCATAGGAACAATGGGGAACTCAACAATTGTAACTAGCTTTTACAATTAACTTTTTATTTTTTAGGTATTAAAGATTAAAAATGAAATGCTAGAAAATATTCTGAGATTTATATAATTTTAAAAAGATGGTAAAAGTTGTTTTTTTTTTAAATTGGATTATACCTTTAAGGCACCCTTTTAAAAAATATTATAGAATAAAGGAGTTTAAATTTTTCGCCTACAAAAACAATCTTTTATTCACCATAGGTGAAAATGTTAAAAAAGCTTTGACAGAGTCTTTGGGTTTTGTTTTGTTTTTATGGTGAGGTATTTTATGGCAATAAGGAATCTTTCTATTAGGAAAATTTATCTCTTGTTTTTTTAAGAGTTTCTAAATTAAAGGGCTTGAAATGGAGCCAGTTTTAAAATGGTTTTAGAACGGCTGTGTGTTCTAGTTTAAAGAACCAATTTCTCAGGTTTTGGCCGTACTTTCCCCCTTAGAGAATGAGCCTATGTGGCCGTCCTTGCTATCAAAACAGAAACATCTACTAGTCTCAAAGATGCTAAGTGGAGCCCACTGGCAGGTGTGAATCCAAACCTGTCTCCTGCCAGAAGGTGTGCATTCTGCAAATAAGAATGATGAAGGATAATTTTAAGGAGTTGGAATTATTAGATTTTTCCCAAAGATTTTGCTTTCCAATTGCTTTGGTATATTTAACAACATTTATCAATAATCAATACCTATTTTTATCTGACTGCAGTATCAAGAAGATTGTGGTACGCTTTAATTACATATAAAAATCTCAGACATTCAATCTATTTTATTTGCCTTAGTAAGACTTGAAATTTTTTTTTTCCTAAAAAGATGTTAAAATATTTTAATTCATGGTTTCCTCCTTGCTATTAAAATAGTATTATATTATCCCTAGCTTTCCACTTAACGAGAGATTTGAGCAAAGATTTGGATGTAGAAGTGGGTAGTGCTTTAAACAAATGGGATTAGTAACGCCCAAACTTGGGGCATTTAATAACCCCAAATACAATTCTTTATTTTTCCCCCAACACAATCATTCTATATTATAAATGAATACTTTCAAATTCAAATGGATAAATTCCTGCTCTAACTAAGAGGTATTTTTGTAGCTCAATAGGACATACATTTTGTAAACCACTGACTTAAATATTTTAAGTGCTTAAAATCACCTCTTAAAACACAAGAAGTATGTAACTTCCAAGAAGACTGTGCAAAAAAGGCTTTACTTTTAGTGGGTTGTTTCAAACTCAGATCATGGAAAAGGTTTCTAGGATACTGGAGCTACAGGAAGAAGCTAGACAATTACGTATGTTTGTATATGCCAATACTAATTAAATAGTAAATTTTTTAAGTTGAAAGTTTAATAGTTAACATTTTTTTTTGAGACAGAGTCTCATTTCCTCACCCTTTGTACAGTGTCGTGGCATCACAGCTCACAGCAACCTCAAACTCTTGGGCTCAAGCAATTCTCTTGCCTCACCCTCTCTAATAGCTGAGACTACTGATTCCACCACAACGCCCAGCTAGTTTTTTTTTTTTTTTTGGTAGGCCCAAGGCTGGGTTTGAATCTGCCAGCCCTGGAGCATATGGCCAGCACCCTACCAACTGAACTATGGGTGTCCCCTTAATATTTAACTTTTAAAGCTTTAAATTTAAATAGTTGATGAAAGTTGTTTGTAGAGGTCAATGAAAGAGAAAAGCAAGAAAAAATACCATAGAAACTGTACCACTTACTAGGTATGTGGGTATAAGCAATTACCTTCATTTTTATCATATGTAAAATGGGCTGGTTATGATGCCTGTCTTTGGGGGTGGAGATGATGATTAAAAGACATATCCTGGCAAATAGGCTAAGAACAGTTCTTGGCACATAGTAAGCCTCAAAAAAATGCTACTTATTGTTATTATTATTCTATTATTCCTATGTCAACACATAAGTTAATACATATTAACTTACACATATGTATGTATAAGTATGTATGTATATATGTATACAACGCATACATATACAATAATATCCCTGAGTATCCAGTTAAATTTCCTAGATTTTAGTTCTCTTTCTTATTCAGCTACATGCATACAAAGGGAAAATGCTATTCAATATGTGTGCCAAAGATATGTAACTTTTGCAATTAAAATTCCACTCATGTAAATATTGTCAGTCTAATAACTTCTAATTTTCCATTGGGTTACCCACTGATTTGATTCATGACTCCTTAGTATGTAGTTTACAATTCTACTATATCCCTAAATAAATCTGTTACTTGTATCTTTTACTGCCTACACCTCATTAATTATTTTTTTTCCTAGAAATGTTCTAGAACATGAGAACCAAAAGGAGTCTAACCACAGGCTTAACATCCTTAACTATGGGCCCAATTCCTGACAACCAATAGAATTTATATCTAAACTATCCATTAATGTATTCAGATACTGAGATCAAACGTATAGATAACAATTACCATTAAAACAGTATGCTTTTGATTAAACTTATAAGACCTGCTACTAATTTACAGGTGCTATAGAGCAGAGAAAAACCTATACACTATACCATGTGGATACATTTCTACAAAATCCAGGCTATATGAATCACTACAAAACAACATAGCTTCTTCAACAAATAAATTTCTAGGAAAAGGAAAAAAAAAAAAAAGAAATAGAAGGAAAATCTAGAGATCAAAAGACTTTTCTTTTTGCAGTTTTTGGCCGGGGCTGGGTTTGAACCCTCCACCTCCGGCATATGGGGCCAGTGCCCTACTCCTTTGAGCCACAGGTGCCGCCCAAGATCAAAAGACTTTTAAAGTATTATTAAAAAATAGGTAAACACAATATATATTGTTTATGGATGCACAGTTAGATAAAAAATATAAAGAAAAATAAAAGTAAACTATCATAAAAGTCACATAAGTGGTCATTTGGGGACAGGGACTTCTGATGGTGAGGGACATATGGAAAGCACCTGTTGTGACTCCTGACTTGGGTAAAGGGGTGCCCCAGAGTTGGCTTTATAACTCAATCTTATAGCAATTCATGTCTGTGGGGCTCTTTTAAGAAAACATTTCTTAGAAAGGCAGCAATGCTGACCATGGTTTTTTCTATGTGCTCCTGCAGGGAGTCGATGAGTAAGTCTCCCACTGGCTTCCAGGCACCCCGCACGGACTCCGCCTCCTTCATGTCAGCATCCAGGTCGTCCATCGCTCCCTGAAGGTCTCTGAGCTTCTCCAGCGCCTTGTCCACTTGCTTCTGCCAGTTGTTAGTAACAGCGTTTAGACTTTCCCACTTCTCTTTGACTTCAGAAGACTGTTTGCGCATGGCTTTGGCAATCTTCTGGGCTCTTTCCTCGGGGGTCAACTCTGTGATTTAAAAGAGAAAGTATTAGCCTGGATGTCTGATTGCACATTCCTTATAGCCCGAGTGAATACCACCATTTGAAGAGTAGCCACCAGGGCATACAGAGAAAGAGGTAAGAAAAAACTACTACAGAGTAAGAAAAGATGTCTCCTCACTTCCTCCATGAATTCCCCGCCACACGTAACTATATGCTAAAAAGAAGAAAACAGATACTTTAATAAATTGGCCCCAAATTTTTGGTGACTTCTGAATTGTAATATATTTGTAAACCCTAAAGTGTAACAAGATAAATCAAGAAATTAAAAAAAAAACTTGTTACCATAAATTTAGTTACATAAAACCCAAAGACAGTGTTTCATTTCCTTGTTCTTAAGAAAAATGGTAAGTATAATTAGTGGAAAATAGCTACAAGTTATGAAGAAAAAGTGTCAGAGAACAAGATCAACCTATTGTGTTCCCCAAAATAAATAACAGAAGACAAAGACCGTATCTTAGATATGTCATCACCTCTAAGGCTGTTTGACAGTTCACTATTAATAAAGGGCACTTTCTGCAGCCCAGAAGTGTAGCATGACTATAAACCTTTCAACAGGAGCACAGCAAGATTTCAAGGACCATCCCTAGCATGGACTAGAGCAAAAGGGCTTCCAGAATGTCTGGAATAGACTTTGGGGCACAATAAGCAGGCACAACACACGGCAAGGCCACGGGGTGTACGCAGGAAGAGAAAGAGTCCAGGAGAGAAGAAGCAAACGACACAGACAAAAACCAAAGTCAAGTGAAAAGCCAAGAGGAGCAGATGGAGATGGGGAGCTGACGTGACAAGGGCAGAGGACTGCGCCAAACACAGAGAGGACACCTGCAAAGCAGGTTAGTTAGGTGTCCTGCATGACCGAGCACTCGTGTGGCCTCATGTCCCTCCACCTCTTTTCAGCTGCTTTCAGAGTGGCACCCACACTCTCCACTGGAAACAGGCAGGTCATAAACACAGTCCAGGCAGACTGCACGTTCTTTGTAATGACATCCCATCTTTCAGTAGTAATCACATTAGCGATTTCCACTCCACCTCGAAATATTCCGAATGATTTGTAAAAGGAGCTAAAGTGTGTCAAACTTTATCATAAGATGAACTACATCTTAAGATAAACTGAAAAGCTAGATCTTCTAAACTGTAACGTTCATCCTCAGCACAAATGTGGCTGCCTGTCTGGCTTTATTTAAGTATTGTGTAAGAGTCAAGTGAAAAAGGAGATACATACGTTTGTCTATCCAAACTTCTGGAAAATTCTAGATATCAATATTAGATAGCAATGTATCTCAAGAATGGAAGAAAAAGACTTAAAATCAGCTCAATTGCAATAAATCTCTAGGACCTAAAGGGAACATAAAGCCTTTAGCAACCACAGAACTGGGGGTCAGTGATGTGAGGCCACAGAAAGACCTGAAAATCCCTTGGTGACTGAATTGAGGAAAAGAATAGAAAACATCAAGATTAGCCCATAACACAAAATCCCCAAACCAGAGATGTTGGCATGGATGTGGAGAAAAGGGAACACTTCTACACTGCTGGTGGGAATGCAAATTAATTCGTTCCTTTTGGAAAGATATCAGAGAACAGTGAGAGAACTAAAAATAGACCTGCCATTTGATCCTGCAATTCCTTTATTAGGTATATATCCAGAAGACCAAAACTTGAATTACAACAAAGATATTTGTATCAGAATGTTTACTGAAGCCCAATTCATAATTGCTAGGTCATAGAAGAAACACAAATGCCCATCAACCCACGAATGGATCAATAAATTGTTGTACATGTACAACACGGAATACTATGCAGCCCTAAAGAAGGATGGAGACTTTACCTCCTTCATGTTTATATGGATGGAATTAGAAAATGTTCTTCTTAGCAAAGTATCTCAAGAATGGAAGAAAAGGTATCCAATGTACACAGCCCTACTTTGAAACTAATTCATAGCTTTTATAGGAATGTCATAACCTAATTATAGCCTTAGAATATGGGAAGGGGGTGGGAGGGGGAGGTGAGGGGGTGGATGGGGGGAGGGAGGGTGATTGGTGGGGTTACCTCTATGGTTTATCTTACAAGGGTACAAGTGAATCTTTCTAAAAGCAGAGTATGGAGGTTTTAACTCAATAACTAAGAAAATGACATGAGGTTATGTTAACCAGTTTGATGAGAGCATTTCAAAATATATATGAAAACAGCACACTGTACCCCATGACTGCATTAATGTACACAGTTATGCCATAAGAAATTTAAAAAAAAAAGAATACAAAACATCACAACTTGTAGATAGGCTGCATATACCAGAACAAGTTAACCTAGGAATATGCATGAATTAGAGATCCAAAGTTAAGTAACAGCTGGGGAGGGAGGCAAGGAGGCTGGAGAAAATTTCTAAAACGTGCAATGCGTCAGGATTCCAAGGTTTCTCAAGAAAAGTATGTCACTGGAAAGGCAAACCTTATTTAAATCCTTACACCTCCAAGATTTTTATAAAATGATGACTATATAATACTTATATATATGTATTTTATATAAATATAAAATTCTATGTGTGAGGTGAAAAAAAAAAACATTCTTAGCCTCATGAGAGATGGTAACTTTTACGATTAAACACCTGTGTTTGTTAATAAGTCACTTGGGCTTTTTCAAGGATATATCTTAAGCACTGACTATTGTAAAAAAATATGGTAAAATACCAATTTCTGAAGGGACAACTTCATTATGATGATTTTCTTCAGCTAAAGTAGAAATTGCTCCTGAGTCAGTCACTAAACAGCCTGGCACAGAGACTCTTGCCCTGGGACAAACATCTTCACTGGCTCTGACATCTTTTTCGTCTTCCCTTAATGTAAAATCTATTGACTGAGCAGCCCTTTGTAGTATTTCTTACATAATCCGCACTCATACAGCTACTCAGAAGAAAAGCAAAGCTCTACATTCAATTCACCATCTGTTTCCCAGAAAGGAAACATAGTAACTAATCATTTTTGAATCAAAATGAAAGCGCCTCCCATGGCAGCAACAATCTCAGTGTAAGGCGCACTCTAAGCCAAGAACAAAGTACAAAGCAAAACCAAATCTTTCCAGAACATTTGTGAAACATGTAAGAAGCAACACGTGAAATATTGACTTATGACAGTTTGGAGTTAAAAACAGGGAAACAAATTAAAACATCCAAAAGGCAGAAAAAAATGAATTACAGAGAAAGAATGCATTCTTTAAGAAAAAGAATCCTCTCATTTGAAAATCAAAGGCCAAAGGTGGCTTCAAATTTTCTGAACAGATAATCTGTGATAAATTCTAAAGCCCACACTCAAGAGTGGGGAATCTTCAGTGTTTCTGAACTCTGGTATTCTATAGAAAATACCCTGAAAGTGAGCGAGTTACTTTTTAAAGCAGTGGTTCTCGGCTCAGCACCTGTGGCTCAAGCGGCTAAGGTGCCAGCTACACACATCTGAGCTGGCAGGTTCGAATCCAGCCTGGGCCCGCCAAACAATGAGGGCTGCAACCAAAAAACAGCCAGGTGTTGTGGCAGGCACCTGTAGTCCCAGCTACTTGGGAGGGCGAGGCAGGAGAATCGCTTGAGCCCAGGAATGGGAGGTTGCTGTGAGCTGTGATGGTATAGCACTCTACCCAGGGTGGCAGTTTGAGGCTCTGTCTCAAATAAATAAATAAATAAATAAAGCAGTGGTTCTCAAACTGTGGGTCGAGACCCCTTTGCAACAATGAAAATACATCCTGCATGTCAGATATTGACTATTCGATTCGTTAACAGTAGCAAAATTACAGTTACGAAGTAGCAACCAAAATAATTTTATGGTTGGGGGTCAACACAACAGGAAGAACTGTATTAAAGGGTCGTGGCATTAGGAAGGGTGAGAATCACTGTTGTTTAAAGGGTGATAATAAAGGCCATACCCCAAATGGTATTGATGTAGGTGGTCAAGGTGGGGCCTGGCATGGATAAAGGTCACAGCTCCCCAGTGGCTCTAACAGCCGGGAGGATGGAATGCTGCTAGGCTATTGGCATATAAACTGTTTTTTTCTGGCCCCTGCAGCTGAAGCTTACAGGACTTTTCCACTCCAGCGGTTTCTTGTGCCAACCCCACTCAGAGCACAGCCACTAAAGATGGGAGGCCAGAGAGCAAAGGAAGCTCTGTGATAAGAGGTAATCTAATTTACATTTGAAAGACAGTAATAGAGCCTAATCCTAGAGAGAAAGAAAACAGCAGGATAAAGCCAAATTGAGGAAGAATTCTGAGACCAGAAGAGCTTCTCCTGCGCTCCCATCCTGCTCTGTGGCCTGCACTCCTGGGCACACCGGCCTCTCCCTTCTCCTCCCTTCAGATCTTCCCACTGCACTGGCCAAATGTTGAGGGCAGAATTATATTTCACTTTTATTACTTGTTTTTATTTCTATTTTATGACGTTAAAGTAGCAGTTTCTTTTATTGTGTTACAGAGATATTTGAGGGAGTATAGAGATAACTAGGAAGGAGAAAGAAGGAAGAAATGGAAAGAAAGGAACGATTAATCTTGACGTTTTCTTTCTTTCCCAATTACCTTTATTTCTTCAAATACTCAAATTAATATTATAGCATTTATGCTATGCTCTCCTTTATACCATGGGGGTAAAGACTGTCCTATGGTTCACTGGAACACCAATGGAAAACAAGCCTGGACCAGGAGACTAAGATTGGGACCAGCCCTGCTCGCCGCCCACCTGGTGATCCCAGGCAAGGCACCTGACAGGCCCAGCCCAGTTTTATCAAATCCAAACCCTATTTTATCCTGCTATGAAAGTATTTCACAGCTCGGTGCCTGTGGCTCAAGTGGCTAAGGCACCAGCCACATACATCTAAGGTGGTAGGTTCAAATCCAGCCCAGGCCCACCAAAACAACAATGATGGCTGCAACCAAAAAATAGCCAGGTGTTGTGGCGGGCGCCTGTCGTCCCAGCTACTTCGGAGGCTGAGGC